CCGAGGCCCTGGTGGTGAGGCCGGGGCGGGCCGGGCCGGGCGGGGGCGGCAAGGCCCCTCGGAGGCGGGGCTGGGTGCCTCTCACGTGGAGCCGCTCCCGTGGCCGCTGGCTGCGCTTTGCCTGGGCCGTGTGCTTGTTAGGGGTGTTCAGTATTGCGGTGCCTTTTATATTTTGTCCTCAGAAAAGGAAAGCAGGTATTCTGAACATTTTTGTGTGTGTAATTGGAGCCCTACAAGTTCCAAAATTTTAAAAACTTTTATAAAAAGCTGTGCCCTTCTGCCTTCTAAATGTTCTGTGAATAACAACCTCGTCACGCAGCGCGGTGTTGTACTTGCAGTTATTCTTGTCACCCGCTGTAGGAGAAGTCTGCGTCCCGTGTGAGCGCTGCCCTGGGGGCACCCAGGGCCCGTGCGGGGGACGCCACTGGGCGCGCGCCCCAGCCTTGCTCGCTGTCTGCCTGGCCGTTGGCTGCCGCCAGAGCGCGCTTTCGGTATCTGACCCCTTGGTCATAAAGCTGCTTAACCTTCAAGGCCTTGTTTTTCTCACATCTTTATCGTGAGGGGAGTAACCTGTCCTTGTAAGATTCTAGAAAAGATTAAAGAGGACTGCAGCTTGGGGTGCTGAGCAGTATTTGGTGCAGGTGAGCACTGAGTGGCAGCTGTTAATATGAGTGTACTAGAAACAAAAGTGCTTTTAATCCTTTGAATACATTTTGTGTCTTTTTTCCCCACTGAGGGCGTTTCATTTGTCACTGCAGTTCAGATTTAAGAGTAGGAGTCCAAGGTGTAGAATACGCCATGGTAGGATTATAGAAGACAAAATTTTGGCTTTATTGCTGAGAATTCACAGTGGAACTCACAGTGTCTCTGAACTTTCTTCTAGTTTGACTACAATCCACAGTTTGCAGATTGGTCAAAAGAAACAAGAGGCGCACCACTGATCAGCGTTAAGCCGCTGGATAACTGGCTGTTGATCTATACTCGAAGAAACTACGAAGCAGCCAATTCATTGATACAAAACCTATTTAAAGTCTCACCAGCCATGGGCATACAAATGAAAAAAGCAGTAATGTAAGTTCATCAAGTCGCCTCTGCTCTGAAGGGTGATTAGTACTCACTTGGAGGGTGTGGGAGCTCAGACTGTCACTAAGATCATTAAAAACATCAGGTTCTCTTAGTTTGCAGACCTGCTGCAGCTTCTGCAAGGTGTGCACAGAAGCTGGGTAGCAGCCGCGGCCGCGTGGGAGAGCAGGGGGGCTGTCCTCAGTTCCTGCTGTGTGTGGGACACAGCCTTCTGACTGCACGGCTTACTCTGGGTGTTTATTTCATTTTTTACACTGAAGCGTTCATGGGCTTTTTCTGTAAGAACCTTCTGTGCATAGACATTTTTCGTTACTTTTTCTGATCGTTGGCTCGTGTACTTCCGTTGTAGGATTGAAGTGGACGACAGGACGGAAGCCTATTTGAGAGTCTTACAGCAGAAGGTTACCTCAGATACCCAGATAGTAAGTAGCTAATTGATAACGTAGGCAGTTGACCTGGAGTCAGTTGTTCTAAGGGGGATCTGTAAGTCTTAGAAGCTGAGTTCATTTTTCTTAATGTTAATGTTAAAATTAGGTTCCCAAACCAGCCGCAAAATACATACTTCGCCTTCCTAAGACAGCTAAGCTAATGCTGGCTCTAGTTGTGCACCTAGAAATTTGTTGTTGGTGCACTGCCAACAGTGGGGAAGGGACAGAGAAAGCTGCCTTAAATTGACCCAAACTCACATGCTTTCACTATTCCAGAGGATCTGGGGGAGGAAGCTCACGAGAGGAAAAACCAGTGCTTAGTTGTTCAGCACACACAGTGTAATTATGGAGTATATTTGTAATTACACTTAAGTGTAATTAATGAGGTGACAAAGACAGGTTGAATGATAAACGACACATCTGTGTTGCTTTAAAACTAAGAAATGAATGGCTTCATCTCATCTGTTCCTTTTAGTCCTTCATCTCGTACTTAAATGCCATCAGGTTGTGTGGAAACAGGGAGACACCCGGGGACGAAGAGGATGGTATTGGGACTGTGGAAGAGAAGGACACGACTCTGGGGGTATACAGTGGAGAGAGAGCACAGCAGTGAGGGGAGAGCAGAGTTGAGCCCCAGGGTGTGGGCAGGGGTGGGTGACTTGGTTGGCTGGTTGGTCTTTCCAGCTTTTTTGAGATGTGAGTGACACGTACAGTGTGTACATTCACAGTGTATACAGCGTGATGCTTTGGTATGTGTCTGTGTTGCAGAATGACGACTCGGCAGGGTTTGTTACACCACCTCCACCATCTCACACAGTTAGTGTTTTTGTACCTGTGGTGATAACATATAAGATCCACTCTTCTGGCAGCTCTCAAGTGTGTAGCACAGCATTGCCAGCTGTGACCGCCATGCTGTGCACTGGGGCCTCAGAACTTCTCTGGAGCTAGAGGTCTGGGCTGTTTGGCGTCTTCCCACCTGGGTGGGCAGGGCTGTGTTTAGCAGGCACTGCATTTCATCTCCAGAGTTGCCCATGGACTTCCTAGGAAATTCTGTAGTGTGATCATATTCTCAAGCCAGAGCTTTAAAAGTTTAAAACACGACGATTCCAGGTGGATCATAAGTAAATGAAAAGTGTGAACATTTTAGAAAATCTTTTATCTGTCAGCTGGTAGGTTATCACTGACTTGTTTTGCCCTCTTCCCTACTTCTAAATTGTTCCCAGCTGGTGATAGAGCATACTCAACCAGCTTGTCAAGTTTTAATGACAGCCGTGATTTCTTCGTTAGCATCTGTCAGACTTAGCTGAGTGTAAGAAGCGGCATCTGAAAGTGAGGGTCCTGCTTGTGGGCTGCGCGGCAGGGATGCACAGTGGCTGTTTATACCCACGGGGGGGGGGGTTGGTTTCCCGTCTTCTTCCTGGGACTTAACACCAGTTTCCTAATGTTTGTAACGAGGACATTTTGTTTCTAGGTTGTTTGTCTGTTGTCAAGTAACCGGAAGGACAAGTACGATGCTATTAAAAAATACTTGTGCACAGATTGCCCGACTCCAAGTCAGTGTGTGGTGGCCCGAACCTTAGGCAAGCAGCAGACCGTCATGGCCATTGCTACAAAGATCGCCCTGCAGATGAACTGCAAGATGGGAGGAGAGCTTTGGAGGGTGGATATGCCTGTGAGTTTGGTTTGACCGGTGGATAAAAGTTTTCACTGTTATTTAAGGAAAACGGTTTTTAAGATGCTGCTGGTATCCTGCTGTGCTTGAAACTACGATGTTTTCATTAAAGCTAAAGCTAGCAATGATAGTGGGCATCGATTGTTACCATGACACCACAGCTGGACGGAGGTCAATTGCAGGGTTCGTCGCAAGCATCAACGAAGGGATGACCCGGTGAGTGGGCCCCAGGGGCCGTGGACGAACTGTGGGGCGCAGGCAAGAGGGCCGGTGCCTGGGGCGTCCGGAGTGTCCAGAGGTGGTGTTGCTTCTTTACGGTTAACCTGCTTTCTCTTGTATCAGATCCAGTAAAACAGCTGGGAGAGAAAAGCAGCTGTTAGCTGCCCTGACATCTCAGCGCCCTTCCCTGGCCCTTAATGTGTAGTGGCCGCACCGCATCTCCCGTTCACTGAGTGTCTGTGTCTGGGGAGGGTCCATCTCTTTAACTGTGACTGTCACTAAAACTTTGCTTGATAACTTGACCACTGAGGTGTTCATGTTAATTTTACTTTGGAAAACCCACTTCAGGTTACCCAGTCACTTGTATTTCAACATAGTGAAATTATGTTTCGGTGCTTTCCTTAGAATTGATAGAATTGCCAAGAACAGGAAGAATGAAAATTGAAGCACTGATGTGTTAGCATTACAGCTGGGCGTATTTAAAGCTGCTTTATCTTGTGGAAGAGCATCTTGTGTCGAGAGTATAGGAAAACCGTGTAGCAGTGAGAGTGCTCCTGTGTGCCTTGAGGTGTAAACCTGGGAGGCAACTCTGGCCCCTGTGTGCCTTGAGGTGTAAACCTGGGAGCCAACTCTGGCCATTATGGCTTAAATTGTATTCTCCCCTCAGCGATGGAATCATAACACTGATTTATGGTGAAACTCTGTCTAGAGGTATTCCCTGCATCATGTTAATTCTGTTTAAGACTTCATAGAGGAAGTTGACAGTCATGACTGCTGAGGGTGAAAATAAATGCAGAGCGATTCAGAGGGGAAGACTTGCCGGCAGCTGCCTTCTCACCTGGCTCGTGTTTCCCCCGCGCAGCTGGTTCTCTCGCTGTGTATTTCAAGACAGAGGACAAGAGCTGGTCGACGGGCTCAAAGTCTGCCTGCAAGGTCAGTCTCCTGCCGTGGGTCCAGTCTGGCCTCTGAACTGGGGTCTTCGAGAAATGACAAGACCGTGTTTCTGAAAAAGCTGGGCCCAGAATTTGGTAGAAACGCCGTTTTCGTTGTGTGCTAACTTACTTGGAACTTCTCTGGCTTTTCCCAGCCGCTCTGAGGGCCTGGAATAGCTGCAACGAGTACATGCCTAGTCGGATCGTCGTGTTCCGGGACGGCGTCGGGGACGGCCAGCTCAAGGCGCTGGTCAGCTACGAAGTGCCGCAGTTTCTGGATTGCCTGAAGTCTGTGGGGAGAGGCTACAAGTAAGCACGCGAATCGTAACGCTTTCTCCTGGTTAAACTGCACGCTTGTGTCTTGAGGGTAGTATCACGAGGTGAGAGGTGAGTGAGACGCTCACGCTGCAAGTGCAGTGGGGCTGGAGGCGGCGGGAGGGGTGGGGCACGTCGCGTGGCGGACAGGCTGGAGGTGTAGAGCGGCTGCTCCTTCAGGGGACGACACGCTGCGCCGCCCTCACGGCCGTCTGCCTGACGCCCTCACCTAGCCCCTCGTCCCGGCACACGCAGAGGCGTCCACAGAAGCGCTACCGGAATGCGTCGTCCGGGTAGTCTTCACGTGCTCTGTCTCAGCCTTGTGGTACAGTGAGTGCTGTTTGGCTCGTGAGCTCGGCTGGACGGGTGCTTGGTGGGCAGGACGAAGGGTGTGTGTTTAGTCTCATGGAGGGAGAGCTCACCCCTCTCCCCTCGGGCCACGGGCACAGCCCAGGGCAGTGAGTGCTGCTCGTGACAAGCGTGGCGTGCGGTCTCCCGTGCAGCCGGGCCGTTTGCCGCCCTCCTCTGCCCTCCTGCGGGGCCTCCTGCCCGTGCTGTTCGGCAGGAGATCACGTATCATCTCAAGATAGCTGCTCTCATAGGTGACATTGTTTACCTTTGTGCTACTTTCTTTATCAGATTTTGAGCAAGTTGAGATCGGGGGGGGGCTGTTGCATTAAGAGCTTGGTGCACAATAAAGGTTTGTGGAAAATCCAGGAGGCTTGTTCCTGTGTGAGTATTTAGACTGAGTATTTTTGCCAGACTTCCTTAGCCAGCGTTTGTTGTCATCACGAAAAGTGAGGGATTTTTAAATTCATCTCACTGTATCTGGGCTCAGGGGCCCACAGGATGATCTTGAAGAGCTCGTTTCCAGAAGAACCGGAGCGTACTTGCAGGTCTTCTTTGGTCAAACTCTCAAAGACTCCTAAGTATTGACCACATGTTTCTTAAGATGAGGTCATTATGTCAGTAAGTTCTCAGAGCAAGTCGGGGCGTCTTTATCTCTTTTGAAGTAATTCTGTTTTAGATTAAAATGCTAATAAGCGTTTTTTAAATATTTTGAATGCTGATGTTTTTTCTATTCTCTTGAAATTCTTTATTTTCCCATTAAAATAACAGTACCAGTTTCACCTCCGTTTGGGCTTTGAATTTCTGTAGGCCTTGTTTTGGGGTCCTTAGGATTTCTGTCCACGTGGGAGGGGCGTGGTGTGGTGGCAGGGAGTCGGGGAAGGGCGCAGATGGACTGCGACTTTCTTAGTGTTCACTGTTTGGTTTCAGTTATTGCTGGAGCGCTCAGAATTTTCTAGTCCTAGTTGCCTCTTCCTCATTCCTAGAGAAGAAACTTCCAGAAGAGTAGGGGTTACAGTGCAGGCTCCCCGCACTCCCGTTCGCTGGATATTTGGGTCCCAGGAAGTGTGTGCTGTTGTCCCCACTGGGGCTGCATCTCTCTGCCCCCGTGAGTCTTTTGAGCCCTCTGAGTTTGGTTCCCAGAAGGACTGGCAGAAATAGTTCTTAAAGAGGAGGTTGCAGCCCTTCAGGTGAATGTCTGTGACCCTCCTTGTGGTGTTGTCTTGAGTTTGAGGAGGCTGGTGGGGTTTACCTGCCCAGCACCCCTTTAGCAGACAGGAGCCCACTGTTGCAGGGAAGGGGCGTGTAAGCTGACTGCTGGACTAGTGCACAGCGGACCAAGCATGAGGTGGATTCCACATTGTGAACTGTGCTGTGATTTGCTGGCGGCAGAGATGAGTGATCAAGGGCAGTATGTCTTAAATCCCAACTTGGCCTTCATCTGTGAAGCGGGAGGTGGTGGGGAGCAGCTGACCAAGGTGCTGAAAGGAACGTGAGGCTGTTGAATGCGCTTCACACGGCATCCGATGTGCACTCAGTAAGTGGTAGGTAATGCATCTAGAAAAAAGTTTATTTCAAGTTGTATATAAAGTAAAATAATATCCAAGAAATAATTACTCCTCATTTTGAAGAAATGGCAGGGTTTAGTCTTTGATATTTGTAATTATCCTTAGAACCACAGTATTTTTTAATTGAAATGTTAACTCTTTGTAAAGATGCATCAGGTATCAGCTGATTCAGAATGGTATAACAAGAAATCAGAATGCCACTTCAGCATACTTGAGCTTGTCTTTCTGCCCTCACACTTGCTGCCTCCTTCCTTGTGATGTCACGGGACTGCAGTCCACCTTGTCTTTCAGTGCCCAGTCCGTTGTCCCTGGGCAGCAGCAGAGCTGCATGGGTGGGTGGTGGTATTTCCAACAGTGTCTCCTTTTGCTTAAGTAGACTCACCCTCCTGTCCCTTCTGCATTGGGTTATTGCTGCCGTGAAGGAGCACATGAGGTTTATCACTCAACAGAAGTTCCCGGTTTGTGATCTTTTTGCCCGTTAGTCTAGACTGTGAACTCCTTACCCAGTCGGGCAGTACCGGCCAGGTTCATACTACATGTAAAGCCCTCTGCTTCCCAGTGTTTAGGATAAAGTGTATTTATGCTCTTAAGGAACTAATGTTCTCCCTGGAACAAGGGCACAGGAAAATTGGGGTATTGATAGTCATAATATTTATCAAATCCTTTTTAGCTGCCAGCACTGTTCTAAGTGCTTAACATGTTCTAATTCATTTATTCCCAAGCAGATAGTGTATACAGTGCGACTGTTTCAGACAGTGAACTTGAAATGAACCTTTAAGAGACAGGTGGAAAGGATGTGAAAGGTATTCAGGCTGATTGCGTCCTGCCAACCCCAGGCTGCCCTCAGGAGGGCCGGAAGGCATGTTCCCGGCAGCGGATCTGATCTGAGAGCTCACTCACGGGAAAAGGAGTTGTCTTGTCATAGGAAGGCCACCTGGAGAACGGACCTGGGGAGGGAAAGGGTGAAAAGGAAGGGTTCCAGCGCTGATTGTGGCAGGCTGAAGAGTGGCTGAGCCATGAGAGACAGAGACACAGAGCTCCCTGGTATACTGTGAACCAGTGATTTTGAAGGGCAGTAAGTTAGACTTGGAGATTATTAAATTAGCTTACCTGTCTGAGATTTTAGACTTGACATCTTACTTTCCACATAGTAGAACATGCCCACTGAAAAGTGTTTCAGGTTGTGAAATTTAAAGACACGTTGGCTCTAACATTTTAATGTGATGGGTGTGTCATATGTGCAGCCTAATGATTAAACGTGTCCGTGACCTTGTGTCACAGAGCTTTCTGCCCACAGCTGACCCTGGTCCCTGCTCCAGCTCCTTGCAGTTGTGGAGTCTTCCTTCACAACGTGCGTAGATACGATGCCCCAAGAGGGGCACGCGCTTCTTTTTAAACGGAGTGTATGAATGAATGAATGATTTAGTGCCCTGAAAAATATGACTAAATGTGGTTGCATTCATCACCATCTTAAGCCCAAGACTAACGGTGATTGTGGTGAAGAAGCGGGTGAACGCCAGGTTTTTCGCGCAGTCGGGAGGGAGACTTCAGAACCCGCTTCCTGGGACGGTCATCGACGTCGAGGTCACCAGGCCAGAATGGTGAGTCCTTTGTGGTAGGTGATCTCCCGCTTGGTTTTCTAGCATAACCTCTCTACTTGACCAACTTTAATCTATTTACTTTCTAGTTCTTACACTGTGTGTGTTAAAAGTACTGAAGTCTTTCACTGGTTTGGTCTAATATTACTGTCCATGATGTATTAACTTAGCGTGTGGAATGGTGAATGGAGGGTTCCGTGTAGTTCGTCTCTGGGGGAAGGGGCTCTTTTCTGTGGTAGAGCATTCAGGGGGACCCTGGCGGGCACGGGCGATGGTCTTAGCACACAAGGGCTCAGCTGTAGGGTCGTGAAACTCGGTTCCTCAGAAGCACTTCTGCGGGGAACAGGGTGCAGGGTAGTGGGTCATGCTCATGAGGGCGGGTCATCGGTCAGTCCAAAGTAATGCCTTCCTCACGAGAGTGGACAGCTAGGACGATTTTTGTCTTTATATATAAAATGTTGGAGCCTTTTTAACAAAGGGCGACTTTAATTGGATAAGATGTCAGCCTCGGTGCAGAGTTTAAACAGGGAGCACTTGCCCTGTGTGCGCCCCAGGCAGAAGCAGCGTTGCTGTGCTGAATTTGTGTAGCAAGTGGTAGTAATACAGAGTCTCACTCTACGTCGTCCTGTTGCGGGACGGCTAGGAATTGTTTTCAAGAACTCTTACCTTGCATTCTGACTTTTCCCAGGCAGGTGCTAGTGATGGCAGGGCTACAGAAGGGTTCTGACCTTTTAGGGAAATTCACTGAGGGAAGACAAAATGGCTAAGGTATTAGCAAGTTCATTTCCTGCAGGATGTTCTTGAACCATTCAGAATGGCCTCTTGACACTTTCCAACAGCACTGCTACTCTGATACCAAACTCAGCTGTAACAGTTGACCTGAAGACATAACTGATTTAGACAGTTTGGGTAAACTCCAAGTTGAATTTTAAAGTACGAAGAAATGTGATTCCTTTTCACTAGACACCACTTGAAACACAACAGCTGCCGGTGCTCCTCAGATGCTGGGAGAAGTCCTCTTTGAATGACAGTATCCTTGAATTGAGAGCCAAGGTTTTGATTTTAGCTCTGTTGTGCTTTCTCTGTTCTTTTGGGCAAGTCATTTAACATTTCTGAAACTCTCATTTTTCTAAATAATCTGTTGTAGATCATCTCTAACTTTACAGTTTGTGTAGTTTCATTGGGCAAATAAATTAGAGAGTTAATTTCTTAATATCTATCAAGTCAAATTACAGTGTCTCTGGATTGATGGTTAATTGGTACCAAGAAAATGAAAAAGTACTGATGTGACATTCCTTTACATTTGTACTGCTTGGTTCTTGATTCTGGAACTGTTCCTGCTCTGTCGTCTCCCTCAGGTGTGGGGTGGGAACAGGGACCTGTCGCCGTGGGCACGTCGGAACTGGCAGCCAGGTCCAGTGACTGTCGACCCCCTGAGGCACCAGTGACAGACACTGATAATACACGTAATAGTGGTATCTTAAACGTTGACACGTAAGCGTTTCAGAGCGCTTTATCAGTAAAGTTTCTGACCTCAAGGCAGCGCATCACGTTGGAGGTCAGGTTACGTTAGCGCACAGGGCTTTTCACTGTCGGAAGCTTGAATCGTCTTGATTTTCACTTTCAAAGCATAAGCCTTGAGTCCGTGTGGCTTTTTCCTTTTGTCACGGCAGGTATGACTTCTTCATCGTGAGCCAGGCGGTAAGGAGCGGCAGCGTCTCCCCCACGCACTACAACGTCATCTACGACAGCAGCGGCCTGAAGCCGGACCACATCCAGAGGCTGACATACAAGCTCTGCCACGTCTACTACAACTGGCCGGTGAGTGCGCCCTCGCGCGCGGCCCGGGGCTCGCTTTCCAGAGGCTTCTACAGTTAGCGCTGAGACTTACAACCTAAAGGAGCTAGATTCAGAGTAATAGGACCTCTTTTTCCCTCCACTAAAGGGTGTCATTCGTGTTCCCGCCCCCTGCCAGTATGCCCACAAACTGGCCTTCCTTGTCGGCCAGAGCATTCACAGAGAGCCAAACCTGTCCCTGTCCAATCAGCTTTACTACCTCTGACCGGCGGAAGAAGACAAGACGTAGCTGGTTTTTCTTTCTGAAATTACAACTTCGGGATTTTTTAAGCTCTTTTTAAAATTGTATCTTTCTGGATGAAACCTGGGAGGGACTTAGGAGCTCCAGAGTCTTCCTTCCAACATTGCCATTAACTTATTTGATAGGCGGAAATGAGGGTTTTATACTTTATCTTGTTTGGTTCTCATAAACGTGTGAGGATTTTTTGTTCTTAAAAAATGTGGATAAGGTATTCTGTATTTGTAAACAGACTCTTTTAATCTATTTGGAAAGCAGGGATTTTGTTGAAAGTGCTTTCAGGAGTGGGCAAGTTCTACGCATAAAGCTGCATTGACCTTATGTTTGAAATACTTGTTTCGAATTTAAAGAAGAGAAAAGGCATGAAAGTGGGAAGCTCAGTACAGTCCAGAGGCAGGGTTGTGTTTGGCCACCTGGTCATCTCGCTTAAGGCAAAAGCTGCCATCAAATAACCTGCACGAGGCATAGGACAGGCGTGTGGCTGGAGGGAAGTGCTTGCTTTTTATTGCATGTCTGGGGCTAAAAAAGAGATAGCTGGAAGTTTTAAATTTGTGTCCGAAGGAACATTTTAAGACTGTTAATAAAAAAGGCCAGTAGTCTTTATTAACATTACTATTCATCTATTTATTTTTTTGCAACTGGGACATCATTCAGTTTGTTACAAAATAAAATTGCAGTGATTGTCTTCTTATCTGAATAACAGTGTAGTTTTTATTTGTACCGAAAGCATATGCATTTTCTTTCCATTTAATTTGATTAAACTTCTGGGGAGTACACTCAGAGGATATGATTCCATTTTAAAGCCAAATTAGTGTCACTTAATGAACCTCAGTGTCAGAGTGAAATTCTGTCAGGAGGTGCTGCAGCCTGCAGCGTTAGTAGTGTTAAGTCTGGCCCCGTAGCTGGTAAGGCAGTGCAGGCTCAGAGGGCCGTGTGTGGTGAAGTTGAGCGGTGTAATTATTCACATCTGCATTCTCGTAGGAATTTTCAGGGAATCTTGCAAAGAGCAGGCTTGAAGTTAATGTGTACGAACACCCTTGAGCATCGCTTCCAAATGTGATGAGTGGAAACACGCACGATCGTACACAGGCCGCCAGAACTGTGACTGTGGCTGAAACGGGCACGGCTCAGCCCGGGAGCGGGTCTCACCGTCACTGCGCTGCTGCTTACCCAGTAACTGCCCTCAGCAGTTTAGCCTCATTACCGTATTATGAATGAAAACCACTTATTTTCCTTTTAGTTCTTTGAGGTAATAACTGTTGTTAACACTGTCCTTGGCTACTAGCCTCGCTTCCTGAGCCTAGTCGGTGTCTAAACATTAGAAGGAAAGAAACGTGGGATCGTGACGGTCTGGAGGCACGCCAGGGAGACAGCAAGGCCGATGATGAAACTGGCTGGCTGTCGTCAGAGCGTGGAGGCGTCTAAGAAGGTCTCATGGTACAGCTGTGAACGGTTGACTGGGGCATTTTTTTATTTGTGGATTTTTATAGCTAGTCAGTAACTTAATAAAGTCTCATACTAGCAGGTTTTAAATTAGCCCTTAACATTGAAAGGCTTTAGTATCTTTCAAACCATGAAAAAGGTGAATGAGGTAGTTATGGAAAGCTGTAGTATGCAGATGACCCCCACTGCATCATGAAGACTTGGTTTTTTTTTTTCGACAAGGGACAAAATCTCAAGGTAGTTGAAGCCAAGAAGGGTGCTGGTCGGCTCTCTTGGTCGTCCTGGGCAGTGGTTCCCAAGCCGACTCTGTTCAACTCGACCTCGTCTGCTTTGTAGTGTCGCAGGCCTCTGAGCCCCAGCCCAGACCCAGCAGTCAGGACTTCCGGGGCGGGGGCCGGGCGAGCTGCTAAGTGCCCCCCAGGCGGCTTGTCTGGGGATTCTGGCAAAGGCCGGCTGAGAAGGCGTGTAGAGCGTGATTGATGGACTGCTGCTGGGGACCCTGACTGCTTCCTCCTGGGCGGGTTCTGCCCAGATGGGGTTACAGAGGTGGTCACAGAGTCTGGGTTTGTGTCTCAGCCTCGCTGCAGTGAGAGGAACACCTCTTCCACGATGGGTGTAGCACTGCTCGGGCTGTCTGCACACCCTGGGACCTGAGGGACACGCTGTCCTAACAGGCACTTGGAGTTGCTGGCTGCGTCCCGTCTGGGGGTGAAGGAGTGGTTCCTCACAGGCAAGTTCGGGTGCTGCGGCCAGAAGGCGGAATGGACGCGCAAACACAAAGGACGCCTACTGGAGGGCTGCTTTTAAAGGCAGCAGCTGCTTACAGTGGCAGCAGGCGCACTGGTCCCTAGAGAGGCAGGCGCAGCACAGCGCCTGTAAGGGAATCCAGTGCAGCACTTTCCAAGAACAAGGCGAAAACTCTGAAATCCAGGTTTCTTCCTTAAGAGAGAAGCACGCATTCAGCTGAAGGCTTCAGCGTTAAAGACACGCAGGCCCTCCCTTCTCAGTACCTGGTCTGACCCGTCAGTCATGTTGCAGTTGTTACGCAAAAGTGCGTTACAATAGGCAGTCTGCCCGGATCTTTTCTGGGTACACGGAGGTTTTTCCTCAAAAGTCAAAACCTTTGCTCCTTATTGAAGCGTTTTTTTGTTTGTTTTTGTTTTTTCTTTTGACATGGTATTCCCTAGAGCTCATAGAGTTTTGTCTGAGTATTCTGGAATTTGTTGGCAAACACTTTTTCAACATCAGTTTCAACCTGATGCTATGTGAGTCTTCAGAAATGTGTATAGTTTTAAGGTTTAATCCATTCACGGAGCTGGCGTTGTCATTCCAGTGCAGCATTTCTAGGGCTGGGTGTGGTTCTGTTTGCAGTCATCATTCCAATCCAATTACTTAAAAATCCAGGGCGAAAGAGAGATTATAAAATTTTCTAGCGATCAAGTCAGTGGAGAGTGCGGGCGCTTTGCAGTCAGGTGATGGCTCGGGCTTGTCCCCCCAGTGCCTTGTGCCTCGTTGGCGAAGTCAAGCGGGAGCCCCGGTCCCCAGCACCTCC